TATACTTCCCAGTTTCTATTTCATCTGACTGGCAGAAAGTAGCATTTGATTATGCTTCCCCCCACCCCATTATTCATGAGCTTGAGTTTCTTTTTATGCCTTTAGTACCCATTTGAATTGTTTGCATCTTTAAGTTACAGCTTAGAGCCTTTGTCTATTTTCTTTTCTTTTTTGTGGGTTGTGGGGCTTGAACTCTGGGCTTCAGTGCTGTTCCTCAGCTCTTCAGCTCAAGACCAGTGCTCTACCACTTGAGCCACAGCGCCACTTCTGGTTTTCTAGTGTTTTTTTTGGAGATAAGAGTCTCATGGACTTTTATGCCCGGGCTGACTTTGAACCGTGATCCTCAGATCTCAGCCTCCTGAGTAGCTAGGATTACAGGCGTAAGCCACTAGCGCCCAGCTTTTGTCTATTTTCTGTTGGTAATTTTTTTTTGTTTGTTTGTCAATAGATTCTCTGAATGAAGTATTCCCATCCTCAGCACTATTGACTTGTAGGGTGGATAATTTTTGGCTGTGGGTGTGTCCTGTGCCTTCAGAATGTTTAATCCACAGTATCCTTATCTCTACCCACTAGATGCCAGGGTACCCTTCCCCCAGTGGTGCAAACCAAAACTGTCTGCAGACATTGCCTAGTGTCCCCTGGGGGGCAGAATTGCCCAGCATGAGAAGCACGGAGCTAAATAAATAGTACAGAGCAAATATTTTTCTCCAGTCTCTTGCTGCTTGTCTTTGATTATGGTACTTCCCCACCCAACCCTACTACCCCTTTTTTTGGGTACCTATCCTGGGGCTTGAGCTCTGGGTCTGGGCACTGTCCGTGAGCTTTTTGTCCAAGGCTGCCCTCTACCACTTGAACCACAGCCCCACTTCTGGTCTTTTGGGTGCTTAATCGGAGATAAGAGTCTCGTGACCTTTTTTTTTTTCCTTTCCTGGTCTGGCTTTGAACTGTACCCTGGGATTTCGGCTTCCTAGGTAGCTAGGATTATAGGTATGAGTCACCAGTGCCTGGCTTTATGATACTTGTTAATCATATATCTTTTCTAATTTTATGATCTAACTTTCCAGACTTTTCTTTTTCAATGGTAACCTACTTATAAAGAGCAGGAAGCATGGATACCTTCAAAGATACCTTCAAGTAGCCAGGCTCCAGTGGCACATGCCTGTAATCTTAGCTACTCAGGAGGCTGAGATCTGAGGATTGTGGTTCAAAGCCAGCATGGACAGGAAAGTCTATGAGAAAACTGGAAGTGGAGCTGTGGCTCAGAGTGGTAGAGTGCTGAGCAAAATGGCTCAGGGATAGTGCTCAGGTCCTGAGTTCAGGCCCCATGACTGACCAAAAAAAAAAAAAGAAAGTAGCAGAAACACTAGGAAATGATACTAATTTGTGTTTCTCTGAGAGTAGGAAGATAGGGGAATCCTGACTAAAGAAATTAGGCCTAAATCCTCTCAGCATCAATTTGTATGGTAGGAAAGAAATCTCTTTGTAAGAGGGCTGCCCAAAGTTTTGTGAAAATGTTGAAATATGTTTTGTTTTTGTTTTATTTTTGGTGCTAGTATGGAACTCAGGACCGTATGCATGCTAGGCAAGTACCCTACTACTGAGCTACATTTCTATCCCTGCAAAACCAGATTTAAGGAAATCCACAGGCTTAGGACCATGGGCCTAGGCTGGAGGAAGGGGTGGTGGATACCCATGAGATGATGTGTGTTTATAGATAGAGATGTGGGATCTTAGGCTAGACCATCTCATGGTGTGGGCTGTGCTCCAGGACAGTCGTGGGCCCTCAGCTGCATCTATGCATACACTTCCCAAAGCATGGGCTACAGCCATGAAGGCCAAGCCTCTGATTGGCAGAGATATCTTAACCTCTTTCTAGCACCATCCCTCTGTCTTTTGGAATACAGGATACAAAGCATTGCCTGCTTGCTCAACCACAAGCAGGTGTTTAGTTGGGCTCTTCAGGATCCAGCTTCAATCAGCCCTGAACATGAGGAGAAAGCAGTGGAGACTGTGTGGCAAGCTCTTAGCGCAGACTTTTTTTGTCATGGAGCTTGAACTAGGGTCTGGACACTGTCCCTGAGCTCTTATACCCAAGGCAAGTGCACTACCACTCTGAGCCACAGCACCACTTCTGGTTTTTGAGTGGTTAATTGGAGATAAGCATCTCATAGGGACTTTGCTCAGTTTGGCTTCTAACAGTGATCCTCAGATCTCAGCTTCCTGAGTAGCCAGGATTACAAGGGTGAGCCACTGATGCCCAGCTTAGTACAGGCTTTTATCACAGGAGCTTGAGCTGTGATTCTGGGATCATATATAGATCTCTAGATGCTGAGGATGGTCTCAGGGACTCATGTTAGACAAGTGCTCTTTTGCTGAGCTACTTCCCATGCCCTATGTCTAGGATTGAACTTGGAATTGTTTTCTTTTAATTGGCCTCTAGTTCTTTCCTTCTTCTTTTTTCTTTTTTCTTCTTTCCTTGTTTCTTTGTTTCTTGCTCTCTCACTCTTTCACTCACTCTCACTCTCTCTCTTTCTCTGTTTCTTACTTTTTTTTTTTTGCCAATTCTGGGACTTGAACTCAGGGCCTGAGCACTCACTGTCCCTGAGCCTCTCTGTGCTCAAGGCTAGCACTCTACCACTTGAGCCACAGTGCCACTTTTGGCTTTTTCCTCTTTATGTAGGCAAGCACTCTACCACTAAGCCACATTCCCAGCCCTGGCTTCTAGTTCTTAAAGAGTATTTTTATGTTTACAGAGATGTTGGGTAGGAACTGCAGTGAGTTCCCATACGCACCTCCCCCCAAATCATCTCCCCTCTTATTTAAATCTTACATTAGCAAGGAACATCTGTTACATAATAAATGAACCTACATTGATGTGCTAGTAACTGAAGCCTGTGGTTCTCATTAGGGCTCACTCTTTTTTCTTTCTTTGTTGGTCGTGGGGCCTGAACTCTGGGCTTGAGAGCTGTCCCTCAGCTCTTCAGCTCAAGACTAGCCCTCTACCACTTGAGCCACAGCACCACTTCCTGCTTTTTCTGCTTATGTGGTGCTGAGGAATCGAACCCAGGGCCTCAGGCGTGCAAGGCAAGCATTCTACCACTGAGCCACCTTCCCAGCTGCTAAGATTCACTCTTAATATGGTATGTTCTGTGAGCTGTGACAGAATACCTCTTTGCAGTCCTAAAACTTCTCTGACATCTTCTTGTTCATTCTTCCTTGTGCCTATCCCTGGCAGCCATTGACCTTTGTTGTTGGTAGTGATGGGACTTGAACTCATGACCTGTAAATTGTCTCTGAGCTCTTTTGCTCAAGTCTAGTGTTCTACCACTTTGAGCCACAGCTCCACTTCTGGTGATTAATTGGAGATAAGAGTTTCACAAACTTTCATTCCTGGGCTGACTTTGAACTGTGATCCTCAGATCTCAGCCTTCTGAATAGTTAGGATTACAGAGCCATCAGTGCCTTTTTCTGAGTAGTTGATTAGAGATAAGCATCTCATGAATTTTGCTGCCCAGGCTGGCTTTGAACTGAGATCCTCAGATCTCAACCTCCTGAGTAGCTAGGATTACAGGTTTGAGCTGCTGACACCTGGCTTTATTATGCTTTTAAACCATACATCTTTTAAAAAATTTTTTTCTGAAGGCTAACTATCCAGACTTTTCTTTTTCAATGCTAACCTATTTATAAAGAGCAATGACCCATAGATACCTTCAAAAAATTCTTTTTTCATTGACTTTTTTTAAACTGTCTCTAGTTTTACCTTTTTTTCCTGGAAGCTTACATAGTTGGAATCATATAGTATGTGGCCTTTCAAACTAGTGTCTTTCATTTAATAATATACATTTAAAATTCCTCTTTGCTTGGCTGGGGAGGAGGGTGTAGCTTAGTGGGAGAGTGTTTGCCTGACGTGCAAAGTCCTAGATTTAACTCCTCCACCAGATCCCAAACCAAATTCTTTTTTTGGTGGTACTAGGGTTTAAACCCAGGACATTGTGCTTGCTAGGTAGGTGCTATATAGCTTGAGCTACATCCCTATCCATTTTGTTGTGAGTGGTTTTTAAATAAGAAATGGCTTTTTGCTTGGGAAGTCCTGGATTGTGATCCTCCTTTTTACTCTTCCAACCATAGCTGGGTTGACAGGAGCCACCATACCCAGTTTTTTCTGTTAAGAAGAGGACTCCCAACTTTTTTCCAGCTAGCTTCAGACTTGTTCCTCCTATGGGTAAGTCACTAGTACCTGGAAAAAAAAAATTTAATTAAGAAGGTAAAAATAAAAGGTCCTCTTTTTTTTTTTTTTTGGTGGGTCATGGGGCCTGAACTCTGGGCCTGGGCACTCTCCCTCAGCTCTTCAGCTCAAGGCTAGCATTCTACCACTTGAGCCATAGCGCCACTTCCAGCTTTTTCTGTTTATGTAGTGCTGAGGAATTGAACCCAGGGCCTCATGCATGCAAGGCAAGCACTCTACCACTGAGCCACCTTCCCAGCCTCGTCCTGTCTATAACCTAATAAATTTGTTTCTTGTTAAGCTCTACATAATACTATAGAAATTGAATTTATCCATCCATGTTTTGGCTGTTGCAAATAGAGCAGCTATGGTCAGTCATGGATAGGTTTTTGTGTGTTCATAGTCGGTCATACCAAGAGTGGTGAATAGAAAATCTCAGCCAGGTACCAGTAGCTCATGCCTGGAATCCTAGCTATTTAGGAGGCTGAAATCTGAGAATCATGATTCAAAGCCAGCCTGGGAAGGAAAGGCTGTGAGACTCATCTCCAATTAACCACCAGAAAACTGGAAGAGGAGCTATGGCTCAAAGTGGTAGCATGCTGTCCTTGAATAAAAGAGCTCAGGGATAGCACTCAGTCCCTGAGTTCAAGACGCACAACTGACAAAAAAACAAAAAAAAAAAGAAAGAAAATCTCTAAGCACATAGTCATCAGCATGGTTTTCACATACCATAGTATGAGCATTTGAAATTTACTTGATACTATTTCTCTTTTCAGATTTTTACAAAATACAATGTCTAATGGTTATGAAGACCACATGGCCGAAGACTGCAGGGACGACATTGGGAGAACGAATCTAATTGTCAACTATCTCCCCCAGAACATGACCCAGGAGGAGCTACGGAGTCTGTTTAGCAGCATTGGCGAAGTTGAATCTGCAAAACTCATTCGGGATAAAGTAGCAGGTAGAGAACCCCAAGGGATTGTGCAAGGGTGCAGGTCACCATCATGTTAAACACTCTTCCCTGTTCTATGACTGTCCTGTTCCTCAGTATAGTAGTTACAGCCCGAGCTGGGTGTGTTGGTTATGACCTGTAAGCCCAGCATGTTGGGGATAAGGCAGGAGGAACACAGATTCCAGCCTGGGCTACAGAGCAAGATCCTATCAAAAACTACAACAGCAGCAACAACAAAAAAAGCGCTGATGGCTCAAGCCTGTAATCCTTGCTACTCAAGTGGGCTAAGAGCTCAAGATGAAGGTTCAAAGCCGCCCAGGCAGGAAAGCCTGTAGATTCTTAATCTCTAATTAACCACCAAAAAAGCTGGAAGTGGAGTTGTGGCTCAAGTGGTAAGATGCTACCTGTGGGCCAAAAAGCTCAGGGTCAGCACTTAGGCCCTGAGTTGAAGCTGCAGGACCAGCACCCCCCCCCCAAAAAAAAAATAACAAACCTAAAAAAAGAAAACAAACCAACGACAATTAAAAACCACAAAAACAACAACAATACACAAAAAAACAAAACAACAATCCAGAATAGTTAAAGTCTGGAAGCCATGACCAAAGTCTCATTTTCTTTTATGTAAAACTTTTTTGTGGGGCTGGGAAGGTGGCTCAGAGGTAGAGGGCTTGCCTCCCATGCATGAGGCCCTGGGTTCGATTCCTCAGCACCACATAAATAGAAAAAGCTGGAAGTGGCAGTGTGGCTCAAGTGGTAGAGAACTAGCCTTGAGCTGAAGAGCTGAGGGACAAGGCCCGGGCCCAGAGTTCAGGCCCCACAACTGACTAAAACCAACAAACAAAAACTTGTTTGTGCTGGGCACCAGTGGCTCATGCCTATAATACTAGCTACTCAGCATGCTAAGATCTGAGGATCTCCCTTCAAAGCCAGCCTGCGCATGAGTCCATGAGACTCATCTCCAATTAATCACTAGAAAACCAGAAGTGGCACTGTGGCTCAAGTAGTAGAGCACTGGCCTTGAGCTGAAGAGCTCAGGGACAGTGCCCAGGCCCAGAATTCAAGCCCCATGACTGACAAAACAAAAACAAAAAACAAAAAAACAACCACTTATTTGTGGCTGAGAATGTGGATTAGTGTTAGAGTGTTTGCCTACCATGCATGAAGCCCTGGGTTCGATTCTTCAGTACCAAATAAATAGAAAACGCCAGAAGTGGCACTATGAATCCAGTGGTAAAGTGCTAGTCTTGAGCAAAAGAAGCTCAGGGACAGTGCCCAGGCCCTGAGTTCAAGAACCAGGACTGGCAAAAAAATAAACAAACAAAACTTATTTGTGTACTGCCTCAGTGTTTGCAGAAGACCCAGCTTCTGTTAAGGCCCTGCTTATGGAATGGCCTCCATTCCATAAGCAATGTGACTCCAATGACAATGTGACTTCAGGGACTTAGAGCAAAGGCAAAAGCAGGTGTCACCAAAACATGCATTATAAAGCTGAGTGTTGGTGGTTCACACCTGAAATCATAGTTACTCAGGAGGTTGAAATCTCAAGTCAGCGTGGGCAGGAAAGTCCTTGAGACTCTTCTCTCCAATTAAGCAACAAAAAAGCCAGAAGTGGAGCTGTGGCTCAAAGTGGGAGAGTACTAGCCTTGAGCACAAAAGCCTAGGTCCTGAGTTCAAACCCAAACAAGCCAAAAACCCACTGCTGCTAGCTTGGCACTGGTGGCTCATGTCTGTAATCCTAGCTATTCAGGAGGCTGAGATCTTAGGATGGAAGTTCAAAGCCAATCTGGGCAGGGAAGTGTGAGACTCTTACCTCCAATTAACCACTAAAAAGCCAAAAATGGAGCTGTGGCTCAAGAGGTAGAGCACCAGCCTTGAGCAAAAAAGCCAAGTCAAGAGTGTGAGGCTCTGGGTTCAAAGCCCCAGTACCAGCAGCAAAACAAAATGCTGCTGCTTTCCTTTTCTCCCCTTGAGGAAGATGTTCTGAGGAGTTCCCATTTTCTTCTTGCTCCCTCCCAGCCATCCCTATATTCCTCTTCCCTCTCCTCTTCTTCCTCTTCCCCTTCTCCTGCCCTTTTCCCTTCCCCCAGCTCCTGTCTTAGGAACAAGCCCTACTTTGTGAGTGTTCTGGCTGCCACCTGGGTTGTAGATATTTTGATTCCTTATCTTGGAAACTAAAAGCTTAAAAAAAAATAATACTTTCATTTGGAAATTTCAAATACTCATGGACAAAGAAATATATTGAGCCCGTGTACCCAATGTACCCAACATCCTGCTTCATCAGCCCTTCACATTTTTCCAGTAACCTGAAGACACCTGACCCAGGAATAACAACCGCTTACTGCCTGTCTGATGACTGTCCAGAATTTTAGCTCCTCAGATGGGTTGTTGGGTCCAAAGCTTTCAAAACCTGTGATTTAATTAATACCTCTTACAGCACTAGGCACTGGTGGCTTAGGCCTGTAATCCTACTTAGTCAGGAGGCTGAGATCCGAGGATCACAATTTGAAGCCATCTTGGGCAGAAGAGTCCCTATGAGACTCTAATCTCCAATTAACTACTCAAAAATTGGAAGTGGAGCTTAAAGTAGTAGAGCACTTTGCTCCTTGAGCAAAGGAGCTCAGAGACAGCCCAGGCCCTTAGTTCAAGTTCCACACCCAACAAAAACAAAAACCAACTTTTACAGAGGATCTTTAGATACTATATAAATCCAAACAGGTAGAAATTCCAGAGCTCTGTTTTGAATATGAATCCTTTCCAGAGGGGCTGTGAATTCTTCAGTGCCTCTACAAAAACCTTGTGGCAAAAAAGCGTTTTTTGTGGGGGGGGGGGGTTGTCCATCGTGGACCTGAACTCTGGGCCTAGGCCCTGTCCCTCAGCTCTTCAGCTCAAGGCTAGCACTCTACCACTAGAGACACAGCACCACTTCCGGCTTTTTCTGCTTATGTGGTGTTGAGGAATCGAACCCAGGGCCTCGTGTATGCAAGGCATGCACTCTACCACTGAGCCACCTTCCCAGCCCCCAGAAGAGCATTTTTAGCCTATGGATACTTCCCAGCTTTGGAGTCTTGATCCTGATTACATGATTGTTTGTTGTCTTGTGGTTTGTAGTGCATTGTGCCCTCTGCTAGCTAGAACATCTTGGAGGCAGTGGGGGCAGCCGATTGCCATTCAGGCCTAGAGAGTTCAGGTTCAGGTAGATAAGGTTTCTCTTCCCTTTGGGCAGTAATGTGCTGAGGTTGAGGAGGTGCCTGGACTCAGTTCAGCAACTCACTAGCCAATTGATTAATGGGTTTAGCTACAACCAGTGGAGCTTTCTGAAACACACTTGTGCCCTCCATTTTTTTCTTCCTGTCATCAGCCTGTGAGAACTTCACAGGTCCAAACCTAGCCATCTATTTTCACCTGGCTGGAGATTAGGCTTCTATCCTAGCAAGAGCATGTCTTCCAGCCAGACAGGCACATTGCCAAGGCCAATCCTGGCTAGTCAGCTGGCACCAGGGATGACCCCATCCTCCATGATTGCCATTCCAATGTGTGTTCCTTCTCCTGCCTCTGCCCAGCCTTCATACCCAGCTGATGAGCACCTCCTACTTCACCTAGAGTCCTAGATCCCTCCCCTTCACTTCTACCCAGGCCCCTTGAGCTGGCCAAGCACCCCCAGCACAGAAACCTTTTAGGCTCTGACTGCCTCTCGCTCTGGGTTTGCTTTCTCTGTATTAGTACAGTTGACGGTCAGGACAGGATGGTGCTGCCTGGATCTGGGCTGTGCATCGTGGGTGGACTGGCATCCTGGCCTCCTCCCACTCAAAGCCCATAGCACCTTCTGAGCTGTGAAGCCAAATGTGTCCTTAGACGTTGCTTCATATCTGGAGGAAGCAGAATCGCCCCTAGCTCTGTGTTATCAGAGAGATTATCAGACTTCCTGTCTCCATTTCCTTTTAGAAGCATCCTCTTCCTCTGGCTATCTTCCTATCCTCAAGGCTGCACTCTACCTCTCTTCTATTTTTTCATTTTCCCATCCTTAAATGTAGGCATTCCTGAGGATTTTGCTGTAGCCCTTCTCATTTTCCTGGGCTGGCATGTGCAGTGAGTAAACTCACTCCTACAGCTTCAACATACCTTCAGTTGGTCACTTTTTGACCACAGGTCCTTCAGCCTGTGCATCATGTGTTCTAAACTGAGCTTGTCCTGCCAGCTGTCCTCTCTTGACCAGTGGCTCAGTCTTAGTAGATGACAGCACTATCTGCAGTGACTCCAACCAGAAAACAAAGCATGGTTTCTGACTCACCTCCTAGTACTCATCTTTCTGGGTGCTTCATCCTTTCCTGAATCTCGTTGGGCATCATCCTAGCCTGAAATACCATTGCCTTTGCCTTCACTGTGGCTTCTTATTAGCCACACATCCTTTGTTATTGTCTAGACAAAAATTGTCCTTACTGCCACAGCTTATGCGAGATCATGTCACTTCCTCTAAAACCCTTCAGGCCCTGGGCTGTGTTTGCTTCAGTAGGCTTTCCCTGGCCTCAGAAGTCAGCATCAGCTGGGCTGTGCTTGTTGGTTTCCATAGCAACCAGAAAGCTCTGCATCATGGATTGCTACACTGAACTGAGGTTGAAATTTTTCTTGTATGTCAATATAGGTTTCAGAAGCAAGAGCCATGTTACTTTTTGTAAAAGTCCTAGATACAGCAATAGTATTTGTTGAGTGAATGAATGAATGGTGTTGAGAAGACTTGTTGAGGGTACACAAGCAGTCATTCACTTAACAAATACCTATTGTGGGCTAGCAATGGCCTGGGCACTAATGACAATAGGAAGATGTGGTAGCTGAGGTGAAAGGAATATCAAAAGCTTCAGAATGTTTTTTATCAGCTAAGCACAGATCCTTTTGTTGGGGTTGTGGTATTGGTTGACAGCTACCAACAGTAGTTATAGGGTGTTACTGTATAGCCCAGCTGTGCTGTTCAGTGCCTTCCTTTGCAGCCGGACCCTGTTCTTTGCCCTAGTATC